TGTCAGATACGATTGTGAGTGATGATGTAGAGATTAAAAGCTCACTGCTCGTCCTCGACATAGATCTGAGAAGTGCAGAAGATGTCCCCCTGAAAAGGAGTCTGGCTAAGCGTTTGGGTAGGGTGGTGGATGTGGACCAACCATTCCTGCCCCCTCACACAGGTCAGTGCTATAAGAGCTGCAGCTGCAGCCTCTGACTCGTTATGCTTCACACTGAAGCCTCGTCTGTCTCCTGTTTCTTCAGCTCTCAAACCTGTAAAGGAAAGACTTGGATTGCTTTGTGATCCTGCTGCACCGACTCAACCAGGTAAGCAGGTGATACGAGCTCAGATTGATTGTGGAGTAATATAGATCCCAGCCATGCGCTCCAACGTGTTGTGATGGTTGCAGCTGAGAGCAGTGCGGCGTCACAGAAGGTTCCTGAGCTCATCCACATAAAGACTCTGGAGGAGATCAAGCAGGAGAAGGCGGTGAGGTCCCAGCCCGAGAACCAGAAACACACCAGAGCCACAGAAGCCAGCACTGGAACAAAGCGAGCCATCGCCTCCATCTGCAGTGTCAAAACATTCTCTGAGATTCTCCACGCCAAGAAGAAAAGACAAGAGGAGGAGCTGGAGCAGAAGCCCCGCCCTGAGGTCAATCACACCGCAGAGCGAGATCAGAGCCCGGAGGAGGCCCACACAGCTGGGCCCGAGGTCACCAACGTGGGCCGGATTCGAGTAAAGACCCTGGAAGAAATCCGCATGGAGAAGGCAGCAAGGAGTCAGCTCAAGCAGGCAGCGGACGCTGAAAACGGGAAGAGGTCTGACGCTGAGGAGAGCGGCGCCAAGAAGCCCCGCCTGCTGCGCATTAAGAAGCTGGCCCCCCAAAGTAAGGCTGCTTTTTGCATATTACATCTGTGCTATTACAGGAAGTGCATGCACATCTGTTCCTGTTTCAATGTCTTTCTGATGGCGTTTGGTGTTGACTGGTAACACTTGACATTTCTATGAACTGTTGGTAAGACGGTAACGCCGGCCGTGACAGAGGCCATAATCCCCCTGGGTGGGTGAACACATGTTCTGTTGTTAGTCCTTCTGTTTTGTGCGTCTCCTTTGCTGTAAAATGGCTGAAATTAGGCGAGACTAAGCCGCTCCATAAAGGCCTTTTCATGCTTACCGCGTGCCCCTGACGCAAAGCGCCACGTGCTGCAGCACAAACCACCGAGCCATCATGTGCCCGAGCAAACCACAGGTTTTCTAAAAGCTCACAGATCTCAGAGTCCAAAGGGTCTGCAGAGTTCACTGAACCAGCCAAAGACGAGCACACACATGTATCCACAGCTGATAAACATCATAAATCAGACCTGCCTTTGCTGCAGCTGGTCTCCTCTTCACTCCCACAATGCCTCAGTTTTCAGTTACAGACATTTGATTGGACGAGGGTCATAAATTACACAGAGCGTGTAGACCGTATAGGAAAGTCTGTTTCCTCCTAACATGGTTTTGAAACACTGACATGAACCTTATGTTGATCTTAGCTAGCAGCATCGCAGCAGAGAAGAAGCCACACAGAAGTCCGTCTCCTGAATCACAGGTACTGTCTGCTTCCTGTGTTTCTTCAGCGTTATTCTCGTTGTCATCAGGCTGTTGGCACTGCTAATCTTCTCTCTTTGTAGACCAGTAACAACATCAAGGTGAAGACCTTTGAGGAGATCATGCGGGAGAAACGCCTTCGAAAGCAGGAAATGTTGGAACAAGGCAAAGAGGGCGAACCGGAGCCTTCTCACAATCAGGATGCCAGCAGTACCCTCAAAAGGAAGGCTCCTTCATCACCGCGCTCCTCCTCCTCGCCTTCCTCCAAAACTCCACGAGTTCCTGTTCACAAGCTGATTACTCTCAGGTCAACGGCTGCACCGCCTGGAAACGGCGTGGCCGCTCCTGAAACAGCAGCCGCTGTTGTTGCTGTGCAGAGCTCTTCACCACAGCGGGCTGGGACAAGGTCCAGCTCCAGGGTCGCTCCAGACAAGAAGGCGTCCACTGCACTGTCCCCACGCGAGCAGCCTCGTGTGACAGGAGCCTCTGCTGCTGAGGAGGCGACGGACACCAATCAGGAGCCCCCAGAGCACACTGCAGACACCAAAGGTACTGTATCACTGCTGTCACTCATCTTTCTCAGCCAAGTGCTCCCACAGCACTCAAAGCACTTTGTCTATGCACAGCTGCTTTCTCTCTCACATTCACACTCGGGTGGATGCATCAGAGCACCATGGGCTGAGCATCTTGCCCAAGGATACTTGGAGCAGCCAGGGATGGTTTTAATGGAGAGGGGCAGAATATCAACCAGGAATCCAGAAAACACATAAAAGCTATACGTTGGTGTGGTGTAGTTAAACTGTACCATAATGGATTAACTCACACCCACAGAGTCCCCCTGTAGAGAAGCGCTGTATAAGAATCAGTCATTTACAGAGCCGTGTTTACTTTGCCAGTGGACACGAACACCACGCAGAGAAGGCTCGTGGTCGCTGACACCAACATCAGTTTGACTCACGGTGTTTGAAGGAGCACCATCCCACAGTCCAGCAGCTCTGCCAGGGAACAGTGTGACTCCACTGCATGGAGTGGGCCGTGCACGGTAACATCTCTGCCAGAACACCTGAGAGGAGCCAGTGTTTGGTCCTTTATCTGTGGGAGGACCTGAAACTTTGAGTGGCCGAGCAAGAAAAACCCCTCCTGAGAATTTCTTAAACCTGGTGACCACCTAAAAGAAAAGTCTTACAGTTGTACCTGCCAACAAGGAGTAAACACAAATTAGAAGCTGCTCATTTCTTTGTAAGTGAGCAAACATACACATTCAGCAGGGGGTCAAATAGTCCTTTCCCTGCACTGTAAGCTGACCTTAAACAGACCCAGCCAGCAGGCGCATGCTTGGTTTGAGACAAACAGTTTGTAGTGACACACTGGGGTTCGCTCTGTTCTTGGAGTGTGAAAAGAAACAGAAGCATGTGAAGTCTAACCAGAGTGACCAAACTATGGTGTGAGGCAGGACCCGAAAGTCTCTGCAGACTAAAGCATTTGATCGGCATTACTTTTACTTCCAGAGAGACCGAAGCTGAACGTGAAACCGTCTGTGATGAAGCCTGCAGTGCTGGTGAAGCCTGGCCAGAGGAGGCGGGGGGCGCAGCAGTCTGCTGTAGTTGCTGTTAAACCTCTCAACAGCCCTCCTGCACTGAAAGAGGAGCCACGAAACAGTGACACACATGTAAGGGTGCATGTGTTCAGTGTGATGCACCTCACGTTTAATTTCTGTTGTGATAATCCTGCACAGACAGATGAAGGAGGAGGGGCTAATGTGAATTTGTTTTGCCTCGTCAGACTCTCCCATCCACCGGCGTGGATGCTCCGCGGGGTCACTTCACCCAGCTGGAGTCTGCCTCCAGCCCAACAGGAGAGGAGCTTCAGACCGTCCCTGTCTTCAAACAGAGTCCAGGCCCCGAGAGCAGTCTGCCCACCAGCGGTGCGACCACCAGAGAGTCCTGCACGGTGCCCCAAAGGTAAACAAGAGTCAGAGTTAGTGTGCTGCTGGCTCGGGCTCGAGGAAGCTGCCCCAGCTGAGTGCTCACTGGTTTCATTCCCAGTCTGGCTTTGGGGGAAGAACAATAAAGTACCAAGTGACAGTAGAAAATAAGCATTTATGTTGGTATGCACTGCATTAGAAACAGTCATTACTGTGATGTGTGTTTCCTGCTGGTTCTTGGTGGCAGAGACTGAACAGTGCTGCAGACATTCCTCAGAGATGTTGGTCCACACTGATGTGGTGCTTTGCATTGTTGACATATGTTGGATTGTGATCTATGGAAGCTGTTTGACTACAGTACACTTACTATCAGGTTTGGGAAACCAGTCTGAGCCTGTTTGAGCTTTATGGTTGCTGCTGGGACCACTGTTACCTCCACACCTGCTCCAGCTCTTCTCTGAGCCCTCGGTACTTCTCCAGCTTCTCGTGTTGCTGTCATTCACTGCATCCATCACTACGGCCGTCTTCCTCTGTTTGTCCACCACCACCATGTCCGTCTGTATCTGGAAGTCTCACAGGATCTTAGCTCGGTCATTCTCCACCACCCTTGTCTCCCATGTTGACCTCAGGACTTCCAGTAGGGCTGTTCGATGTAACCATATATATCAGATGATGATATAAAAACATCGTTTCATTTTACGCTCTCGTTTGTTTCGTGGTGTCGCAAAATAAACTGTTTACAGCTGTTTTCATGTCCTGATGGTCACTGTAGCAGCTATATTAAAGTTCAGATTTAATATAACCACACTGCGGACGACAAGCGCCTGTTTTTATGCGTTGT